TACCATTCATTACCTTAAAGGAAACTTAGTACTCCTTACACTGTGAGGCCACATGAAGAGCTACCATTCATTACCTTAAAGGAAACTTAGTACTCCTTACACTGTGAGGCCGATCCTTGTAGTGTTGAGAACCTGTACTCCTTTAAAGCAGAATTTGTTACAGTAGTGTAACTGTAAGAAACTATATATATGTAGTTGTTTGTGGAACTTAGCATAACGTCAGAGAAACGTAACTGAAATAAACTACTACAAATGTCACAAATCATCATGGTACTTGTACAGCTGTGAAAGCTTAGAACTGTTTTCGCCTGTGGCTTTCATTGAATCTTGACTACTTTAGTTTCGTTTATATAAAAAATATTAAAAATTATAGTTTAACACTTCTATCCAATTCTAATTGTAAAATAACTTGCATCATATCAGACACAAGTTACATGTCCCCTAAATGTAAAAATGTTTATTTTTGGTGAGCTTTATCAGTTTGATTGCTGGTTATTTTTGCAGCGTAAAAGTTGTTCCTCAGGCAACAGCTATTTTCTTCCTTAAAGAATTAATATTGGTGTTAAACTCTGCGTTCTTTTTCAATGCTTCATTACCAGGAAGCTCTCCAGTGGCTCAGTGATAAGTCTGAAGGCTTATAACGCTAAAAACCGAGTTTCAATACCCGTGGTGGGCACAACACAGACAGCTCAAAGTGCTACCAACGAAGAATAAAATAATAACATATTCCATTGTATATGTTGATATATATCTCCAGATGTTTATGCCAGAGGAAATGTACTGAAAAATGTATTGGTTTTTCACTACGTGCCCGTTTATATGTAAAGGTATAATGCTAATTGTCAGTTGACCTACTTTTTGTTAAGTTGCATTTATAAAATGGAAAAAAATATAACCACAGAGTAACAAACAGCTTATTACAAGACTAAATACATTACTATAACTGGGGCAGCGAAAGTAAAACACCAGACCATAATGTATCGACAGTGGCCGTTAGTAAACGCTGCCGTTCATGTGTCGTAAGTAATTTAGTGTACAGTGTATGTGGAGTTGCAGAATCTGGCTATTAATGAGCATTTGCTAACTTATGAAATTTTAACTTTATAATTAAGTTTCACGCCAAAATCCAAATAAGAAGGCTTTTAGAGACGTGACCAGTGGAAGAGTTTCATCTTGAGTTTTTTGTTTGTTTTGTTTTAATGTATATAGACTAGAGAGAGCATTGTTATGTTGGTTGTCTAATTCACGTGTGTTTTCTTGGAGTTTGGATTACTTTAAAGTGTATACATTTTCCAAGATTAGAACCATTGTCTTTACGTAAGTTGTTTTTTTTTAAGGTATATTAAATTGCTATTAGATCCTAGAATGAGTTTTGGAATGTATTAAGGGGTTCATAAGATGGTAGGTTTCATCAGAATATTTTGGATTCAAGTTTTCGTATAGCTAGTACAAAGTTCAGCCGCGTGTAGCTGCATTTTAAAGTATCACATGCTTTATATTTATTACCGTAGTATACCTTAATGACACATGTACACATATATGAATGCAGTTTGTTATTTGAACCCCTAAAGAGTGAAAGACTACTAAGGTATTAGACAGACGTTACAATGAAAGTTTTGTGTTTTTTTTACTTGTTAAAACAATTTGGATATGTAGCAGAACGTTCGAATCTATTGTACTAGCATTTATCAAGTAAAAATATTACTTATGCCTGGAGTTACTGAATATCTAAAATGGTCTGGTATATCTGTTTTTTGTTTGGTCAGTTGAATACGTTTTATAACGTATTTTTAGTGACTATCGGTCTACAATACTGTCATGAAATGTCGGTTAACCTAAAAGTTAAGATTATAATCAAAATATCATTTTAAATTACTTATTTTCGCCTGCAGGGGAGCACTCAATAAATACATAACTGACAATGAACCATTTTCGAAAACACCCTGCATTTCTGTACGTAAGTTGTTGGCATGTTGTACGTATTTTAACAATGAAGTTCGTTGTGCGTACTACGTTGACACGGTTGAACATTTTTACGCCCAACCGACCTTGTAGGTACGGTACCTGGTATTAAGGTAATCAACTTGTAAATACCTGTTTGCCTTGTCACATTCATGAAGTGTCTTATTTATTTTGTGAATCGTAAGCATACTTTGTGTACCAAAACTGTGTTCATATGTGGACAATGTTTCAAACCTTTTACATTCAGTGAGCTTAAATGAGAACAACCAATTTTAAATACTTAACTGGGTGAATTACAAACGGTTTCCTGATTAGCAAGCAGGTCAGGTAATTGAAGATAAACATTTGTTTAGCCAGATTAGGGTGCTTTTTGTAATATAGAAACAAGTTTCTGGTTTCCGTTTGGTTGTGTGTGATTTTATATATATATAGAAACGTAGATATATATATATTACAGAATTATCATATTTAATGAAATAAATTGATAATCCCAGCATTTTAAAAATGCACAATAAATTATTGTATAAATTAAATAGTAAAAAAAGTAAAAACTCTCTCTACGTGTTCACCATCTTCAGAAACTAAGAAAGATGCAGAAAATGCCATTTATATACCCTTATAAATGTACATGCATGTACTATTTTTATACTGTACAATGGCACCATTCACAAAATAAATTTTCAGAAATTTACTTCTGTGGCACCAGAACCTAAATCTCTGTTTCAAAATCATTTTGTTTTTAGCAATTTCTGATGACTCTCTTATATTTAATTCAGTTTTTAACTTTACTTCTTTAAGTATTTGTACATTGCACAAGAAATGTCAATTGAATATGTTGAAATACCACATTGATGATCAATAAAACTATGTAGTGAGTCAAGGGACAGCTCTTGAAACCAGTACTGTGACATGTAACAAGATTTTACTGCAAGTAAAGGAGCAGGAGCACCTTTAAGAAGTGTTACTATAAGACTCAACAATACTGTGTTGTAAGTAAAAGTAACACCTTATAAAGACACTGTTGTAATATTCATCAAGAATTTGCTACTAGTAAAGAAACATCTTAAAAGACAATGCAGATATATTCAGTAAAGCTGCACTGTAATTAAAGGTACAGCTTCAAGCCATAAGTGCAAGCTTTTACAATTGCTCTATTCATCAGCAACCAAAACTTGCATATGTGAGAGTCAGTGACTTCAAAATGCTCTATGAAAATGCAAAGGAACATATAAGACGTTTTCCATAATGCTTCAAATTAACAATATTTTCCTTATCCTTGTACATATTCAGTTAAAGAGACATTATTCTGACAATCAGCTCTTCATTAAAAGTGTCAGAATATCTTACATAAACTGCACTCTGATGCTTAACAATATAGTTCTTCAAGTAAAAGAATACCTTAGAGACATCATTGTAACAATCAACAACTTTATATTGCAAGTAAAAGTTATAAGAACATATTATTTCATTAAACTTCTCAAAAATGGTAAGACTTTGACCATATGGAAATTTGTCTCTAGCATAAAAATATACAAATAAACTAAACATATGTTTTTAGTACTTGTTAACAAAGATTTAAATGACATTTCATAAATACTTTTTTTTTTCCCCCATTTGTATAGAGCCTTACTGGTCACATAACAGCAGTAGAATGTGTCAAGTTTAATCATTCAGAAGATGTGGTTTGTGCTGGCTCGGTGTCTGGAGCACTGAAGGTTTGGGATTTGGAAGCAGCAAAAAGTAAATATGGTCTTCAAACTTTTAAATCATCATATCTGATTCTTTTTTTAGTTTGCACAAGCAAAAAAAAGTATTATTTAATATTTCTTTTTTTAGCATATCCAGCAGTATCAAGGTGTGTATAAAATTTAAAGCAGGGGTGGATAATTAGATTATTATTAACAGGTCCTGTTACGATTGGCCCAGGCCCGGCATGGCCAGGTGGTTAGGGTGCTCAACTCGCAATCTGTGGGTCGTGGGTTCGAATTCCCGTCACACCAAACATTCTCGCCCTTTCAGTCGTGGGGGCGTTATAATGTGATAGTTAATCCCACTATTCGTTGGTAATAGAGTAGCCCAAGAGTTGGCAGTGGGTGGTGATGACTAGCTGCCTTCCCTCTAGTCTTACACTGTGAAATTAGGGCCGGCTAGAGCAGATAGCCCAAGCCTGAAAATCCTCCAATCCAAAATAAATTCAAAGATGAACCATGATTACAATTAAGTGCTAGAAAAGCAATGCAGTGGTAGACTGAGTATATAAATAAGAGAAACGCTAGCTAAAATAAAGCAGTAGTTATATATAGTATTGTTAATGGAAATAACCTTTCATCACTTCTTTTAAGTTTTGTGAATTAACTGGTTAACTTTTATTTCTTTATCTGGAAATATGATTTATGAAATAAAACATAAACAACATGGTGATGGAACATCCAAGTAAAACCATTAATGAAGTTAATAGCCTAACTAATTAATTAACCTCAATTACAATTACTAATTATAAACTATTTCCTTTATATTCTTAATCATTTTGCCAAAGCAATTAAAAATGCACCTCTTCTTAAATAATAATATGTAATATATATAAAATGAACAACTGATTATTAACTCATTAATTGGAGCAGGAGCAGCTCAGTTGCCATTTTCTGACTCGCAGATAAAACTGAGTTGCCATCAATCACAATAAAATGGTAATTTTTGTCATTTTCATAGAGTTATGGTTATATATATATATATGTATGTGAGACTGATGGATATTTCCGTCATCCGCAGTTAATGGGTTAAGTTAGTGTCTATAAGACTCAAAGCAATTGTATGTTCCTAATAAAGTAATTCAAAATAGTAATTACATTTCCTTAATATTTAAATAGCTACAATGATTCAACATTGTGTGTTAAAAATTCCCATCTTAGTACTGATAAAAAAAATCACATTAGAAGTTAATGGATATCTGTTCTTACAGCATGTTGCAAAAATCAGTTTATTTGACACAATATTGAGGTGAGATATTTGTTTTAAAAGTTAACATTAACATTAAAATATGTAGATTTATCATGAAATACAGCACTACCACAAAAGATGTATTTTGTTATCCATGATTTTGTATAAATTCATTTTAACAAGAAGTCTGCTTTGATAGGACTAGCCAAGAACAGTTGTATGCCACACTTTCATGTTCCTTTGGATTATTACTGTAAAGCAGGTGTGAAGCCTCATTACCAGTCACAGGGTTGTTCATTCAGATTTGATTAATTTATCTTCCTTTATTTTTGGCATTTAAAATGTCTTATAGTATTTTTTGTCATATTCTTAAGGTTGAATAGTGTTGCTAAAATTAATCTTATTTTGTTGTGTCCACCTATCCCCATATGGTTTGTTAAATATTAATGATAATAACTGGACTCGAGGAAATCTGACACTCAAATTAATCATCATGAGAGAGTTATCAATATTTAATGTTA